AGCAGAGTGATGTACATGCTGTAGTCAGGATCAGAATATTCTGTACTAGGAAAAGTATGCAGAAAACCTGCAATAGCAAACAAATCTTATAACATTAGCTAATAAAACCTACACAATGCTTATAAACAATGGTTAATGTTACTTGTCACCATGAGCTGTGCCAGTCTATGCAAGCATACTTTAGGTCCTCTTTCTTTTCATTAAGTTACAGCATATCTGGCAGCTGATAAATTTGCCATAGTTTATCTTCTGACATAAAATACCTAACTTTTAGTATACGTGACCTGTCACTCACTAAGGAATTACTGTAATTAGAAAAGGAATTTTGGTGACTGGAATGCAGGCAGTAGATGTACACCGATCATGCCATCCTTCCCAGCACAGTGACAGTTAGCAGCTGCTATGAATCACCCCCTTGAGAAATACAAGAAATGGATGACTGCAATTCTTAAGTAATTGCTATGGGCAAAAAGTCCCATTGTGAAGGAGAGTGCATTTAGTACCAAAGAAGACAAGTAGCAAAAGAAAGCCCACAGTTCACCAAAATGGACTTTTTACCAGCTGAACTAGTCATTTCCTGCTGAAGTCAGGAACTGTAGTAGATTACACATTTTATAATCAATGCAACTGTTACAATACTGAAGAGTATCATCTAGAAAGCAAAATGATAAAACATCAAAGATACCTGCTAGACTTGCTTCTTCTGAGGAATCTATGGTAATAATAAAACAAACAAACAAAACAAACAGAAATACAAACTACTTTGAGCAGCTGTGACACTTAAGCAGCCAATGACTATGCTGGACTGCCATAAAAATGAATACTAAAACATATCCAGTGTAAGATGAATGTGGTTTGTATCTTAATACATAATGGGTAAAATATCTGAATCTGTGTCAAATATCCTCTGAAAAAATGTTACCTGGGCATTTTAGTGTTCAGAGATTCAAAATGTGAGCATCCCTGACTGTGTACTGCATGCCTGAATTTAGGATATGAAAAGAGGTATTGTTCCTTGACAGCTCAAACTATCAGAAAACCATGGAACAAGCAAATGGATGATCTCAGATGCAGCCGAAATTTGAATGTGCCTGTCCCAAATACCCCTTTTTGATTTCCCTCCCTTCTCTTCGTTTTTGTAGAAAGTCTATTGAGTGTTTGACTTACAGAGGATATTGCTCCACCTATTGTCTGCATGTGGCATTGAAAATCCCAGCAGAAAAAAACTTCAGGCAAAAACCCACAAGTGCTGCTGAATCATTTTTGGAGTTGGCCTGCCAAGTTACATATTCATTAGTGCCTTCACATGGCTTTTCAAACCCTTTTCTATGAAGCTGATGACTGCAATTCTCCACCTCCCCTTCACAGTCTAAATGTCAATTGGTTTAAGAGAATTACTCACATTTGCATATCAGATTGAAGCTATAAACTTATGATTTGAAAACTAACAGATTTACAGTCAGTCTTCATTTGTCAGACTTGTAGATTTACACTAATTTGAATTTACCTTAAATGCCATGTGAATAGTCTCTTCTGTGTTGGCTGGATTACAAAGGATAGATAAACCAATGACATATTCTCTGAAGTCAATGGTGCCATCTCCATTCTGTAACCAAAAAATGTATGGCAGAAGTCACAGTTAATAGTGCATATCACCTCAAAAGTGGTTGTACAAATCAAATATACAACATGCAACATTAAATCGTTATTTCTTCCTGCAGAAAATACAAACAGCTTTCTAAAGTTGTGTATTACTGGGGATGAAGTAGTATATACATATTTCCAATATCTTATAAACACCCAAACAAAAAAAGATTGGAAACAACTTAGGAGACTTTTGTTAGCATGTGGCCTTCAAGAAGCTTCTGAACAAGAACTGGAATACACCGGCTAAAGGTAAATGTAACAGTTCATGGAGCACTGGCACTTAGTGAAACTCAAGAGACAGAACAGAGAGGCCAACAATGAGACTGTTGTCTGGAGTTAATTCTTCCTAAGAACCTTCAGCAGTGAAACATATGCCAGCAGAAGTACAACCTGATGATGCACGTAGTCTCTCTTAAGCTTTTCTTTGAAGCAAATGCATTGCCCTACATGCTAGTTTGAGGCAAATACATTGTCCTACTTTATAAGCCAGAAATGCAATTAATTAATTGTAGCAGCCTGTTTGATAATTGCAGTTTTGATCTGAAAGTACATTTCAATGTGTTCACTACAAAGCTATTCCAACAAAGCACTTGAATTTTACATTGATGGGATTTGTGATTTATTCTATGTAAACTGCATCGTATTTCCAGACAGGAAAAAAATTGTATCCACTAAAATATATGTTTAAGTCAGTAATATTCCTGTGACCACACTGAAAGTTTCTTGAGGGTTTTAGGAAATATCCAATCTAGGGAAGAAGCCATACGTAAGCTTTAGGCAATGGGACACAGTTAATGAAAGCACAGCTGTCATGACTGGTAGCCCACAATTTGGAATATTCACCAAAAGGATGCTCATCAAAAACATTCTAAAATCCAATAAAAACATAAAGCAGATTTCCTTCTGTGGATAATGTGCTGTACATTTCAAAAAGAATTTCTTTTTTATCAAAAGAGTGGGCTCCCTAAGTCTGAGAACAGCACAGACAAGACAACTAAAAGATGGGCTGTCTCCTGGGTAAATCTGTCTTGTACAGCCAGATCTTGATCCTATTCCTAGCTCTCCCACCAGCTTCTAATGCCCACTTTAGCATATCAGTCTTAACCTTTCTGTTCATAGTTTCCTCCTACTGAATAGTGGAATATGGAGCTCCCCAGTGGAGAAACGCTGAGGCTGTTTGGTACAGTGCTTTGGAAGTCTTGCGTTCTGTGAAACACAGATTTCTGATATTGAGCTTAGATCTTAGGATAGTCCTTGATCAGCAAGAAAGCATCATAATGGTTCAGTATTTTATGAAGCTATACATATGGCAGGATTTTAAACTGCTAAGATTTGATTTTATTTACAATTCAATAACAATTCAGAACTGGTTTGCACACATAAGTGTTTTTTCTTTACACCGATGGTCTAATCAATCTTTTTCAAGACATCTAACATTTGAACATCCTATATTTTGAAGACCTATAATTTTAAGGAAATGTTTTAGCAAAAATAAGAATAGTTTTAAGTTACCTTGAAGGTAGCATGTCAAAGGTATAGTTGCATGTCAAAGGATATATAACTTCTGTCGGCTTTTAATCACTAAAAAAGGGCAACATTCTCTCATAAATACTGTTGTCATTCAGAAACTACTCCTGAAGTCAGTAAACACAGCTTTGGCTAGACAGAGAAAGATGACGAGCTAATGAGGCTCATGTTACTTTTGCTGAAGCATTAAAATCCAATAATCAAAACTGAGTGCAGTCTGACACAGAGAACTTCAAACATTTGAGAATGAAGTTGTTTAACTTGTAAGATCGTGTTGTGACTACAACTAAGTCCTAAGAGGTTGGCCAGCTTACAGATGCTCTGGTGCTTTGGTTAAGGGAAACTGACAGGGTTGCTGCAAACACACGGGTGTTAAACTGAAAACACTAGAAAATCCTCCATGTTTCTGTAGCATCAATGCAAAGAACACTTGCAATAATTGTTCTACACCTACCTCGCTGTGTTTGCACCCTATGCACCCAAGTATATGCTGAGGAAACACAACGTGAGCTAAGTTCTAATTCTCTAAATATCAGAAGTTAACATTAACATTCATGAATTTGTATTTACATTATTAAAACATCCAAAGGATAGTGTATTGTCAACAGACCTTGTTTTCTTAAAGGAAACTAGTTTCCTCTTCCTGTTTTCAGCGTGTTTGTGACTTGTTCCTGTTCTGATTAGCCAAGTAACCCTGAGTTGCTTACAGGGCTACCACAGAGAAACTGCAACTGGAACACCTGGAGAGGAACTGCAGTTGTACATCTCATGTTCCTATCCAGGCTCATTATGTAAGAAGCTATTGCTGTAACTCAAAAATTTCAGCTGCTTGTTGCTACATGCAGGTCGTACCCAGTAACAAAAGGGAAATTCTGATGCAAACCTGGTAGGTTTTTTTTTTTTTTTTTAACCAAAAAATCCAAGCAAAAGTTGTAAGTTATTTTTTTCTAAAATTAAAAGGTTTTTGCAAACACACCAGTGAGGAAGTTTCATCAGCTTGGAAAATATTAATTGCTGAGTGTTAGATTTAGAAATCAAAGCTATGGAAATTTAGAAACAAAATCAAACCACAGAACCCCATTTTAGTATTCAGGTGCCCTGCAGATATTGTGTGGTATTTCTCCATTAGTCACTGATACCTCCATGAGGAGGGGAAGAGGCATGTGGGCTCTTACATCTGGAGTCTTTGCGCAGGCTGTGCTGCTCCACTCTTCATTTCACATTCCAATCAGCCAGCACACACCCTAGACAATTTTCTTTTAAAGCAGCAGAGCCCTGCAGACAAACCTTCTTTGCCACTTCACAGTGAAAGAGCTGCTTGTCATCATCTATGTAATCCTTATTTCAAAAATAGTGTGCCTTTGACAGTTCGTGTTATTTCTTGTTCTATTACTCAAAAATTGACGTCTCAAAACTGCATACTTAGCTCAAGTGGGACGCTGCACTCTGAGCAAAGTTACCTCTGATAGCTACAAGTTGATTTTTGTTGGCTGGCTGCTGTGTGACTACATTGTTACAGCAAGCTTCTCTAAATATAAATGCAATATTTTAAGCTGTTTTCATTGTAACTATATTAAGGCTTCAAGGAGAGAGTAAAGACTAGTAATAGAGCTGTAGGAAGGAGAAAAAGGTTGCTAAGGCAGCCCGTTATCTTTGTCTTTGCCAGCAAGTAGAACTGACGATACCACACAGATTTTATTTCACCAGACCAGCACGAAAAAGTAGTAGGAAGGAAGCAAAATATTAATTGGTCATTATAGTCACTGCAACTTCAATGTTTATCCCCCTGGTTAGAAATAACCACACCATTTAGGAATCTACTGAACTTTACCAGTGACTGCCTTCAGGCAAGCACAGCTTTATTTCAGCTTAGCGAACGCTGACAAAATGGCGCAGTAATATCACAAAACACTACTAAACTTACAGTTTTTTATATAATACTTAAACTACTTTATAAGCCCACATTTCATGAAGAAGTAACTAAGCTTTGATCCTTCAACATATTCCCTCATTTCAGGGTCTAGAGATAATTTTCTTGGCCCGACTTATGCATCTGTACAACTGACAACTTACACAACTTCAGAAAAGCAGACTAATGCATACATGAGAGGAATCAGAGCTAAGCAAAATATCTTTAGCTATATCTGCCTTAGAATAAAGAAACGGCTACAGTTCTATAATACAACAGCCTTGTACTCTTCCATCTGTATCTTTCAAATGAAGCTTATTCCCTTTTGCTTTGCTTTCACGAGTACATGGTCAGCTGCAGCCAGTCTTCAATGGTCATTTTGATCTGCCCATTTCCATTGCGGTCCAGCGACTTGAAGGCCCGGAACATGCTGTCCAGTCGCACCAAGCAGCTAATGAAACTGTTAAAATCCATGCTGCCATCCTCGCTGGCATACCTGCGCACGATCACCTGGCAGAGCTGTTCGTTCAGCTGGAACCCTGCAGCCTGCAAGGCTGCCGGCAGCTGAGCTCTCTCAAGAATGCCTGACTGATTGGTATCGCAGCGCTTGTACGCACACTGCCATTTCTTGATGTTGTTCCACAGATACTTAAACTCTTCAAAGCCCAGTTTGCCATTTGTGTCGGTATCCATGACAGCTACCATGCTGCGGCACGTGTCTAAGCTGAAGCCATCTGTCTTCAAGTCTTGATGTCGGGAAAGCACTTTGTTCAGGATATTTCTTAGCTCTGTAGCAGACACTTCCATATCATCTCCAGCCAGCTGGACAAAAAGGCGGCGGAACTGTCTGATTTCCTCACTCTCATAAGCTTCCACGTTCGTAAAATGGTTGCGAGGAGGTGGTGGTGGCTCCGGATTATACTGAGCTGCTGCTTCACTTATCAGATTCACAAGACCTCCAACAAGTCCTCCAAGGTTTCCTCCATGTCTACCTCCTGTTAGGAGACCTCCTAGGCCTCGTACAAGGCTCTCTCCTTGACCGCTACCACTTGCTCCGCTCAGCAAAGCCTTAGCAAGGAACATCGCAAGTACTTTCGAAGGGACTTACTCAGAAATCTTGCACTTCTGTAGCTCTCCAAAGCTGCGTTGTGTATGAGCTGGGTGTGGACAAAACACAGCTTAATCTACATGCTTAATCATGTCTGTGCATGACTCCAGTGGCCAGAAATACTGCAGATCTCAGTAGTTTCTGTCAGCCGTTGACATTCCTGTTTTTCTTCTTCTCTGCATAATTAGCTTTATGACATTTGATAAATCTTTGTTGCAAAAAAAAAAAAAAAAACAAACCACAAACCTGATGATGCTGAAAAGCACAAAGCAGAAGTTATAATTGAAATAATTAGAAAAGACCCCTGGCACATCAGTGTGACTGCTTCTCAGTAAAGCAGATCTCCCTAGAGATGAACACTAAGAAAGCTTGCTAAAGTCTTGACTGTGATTGCAAACGTTTATGTCTTCAGCTTTCTAATGAATTGTGTATTATATTGCTAATTCTAGTCACTGAAGCAGTTATGCCAGATAGGTGAGTTGAAAGGAGTCTTCACTGCCATTAATTACATTGGTTGCCACACTGTATTTGTCTTGTATTTGTGCTGTGCTTCACGACTCAGCTTTGCATTCATAGGAGCCAGTGGTACAAGGTGAGGAGATAGGAACAAGGAAAGGATGAGTACCTTATCTGCCTTCAGCAAATACAGGAATGTATTTTACAGGAATATGTATCTCTATTTTAGAATCTGTAAATCCTTTATATTTGGAAAAATCTGGCAAGTTTAAATCAGCATGTACAACAAAATGCCCTCCTAGGGCCAAGTGTACTGCTAAAGTTAACTTGACTGGGAAGAATGATGCTGTGTTAGGAAAGCTCCCAAGACAAGAAGCAAACAATAAGCACTTCCAGTAAAGCATGCTGTTTGCACTGCAGCACATATTGGATGCATAAAGTAAAACGAGTTGTACACTATGCTCTAATCACTGGGGCTGCTGGTGTAGGCAGAGGGAGCACATTCATACAGCAATTTTCCCCATCTTTCAGGGAGAAGCATAACATGAAACAGATCACTACTGACTATGGAGAAGAGCTTAAATAAGCAGATTAGCACCTGTACATTCCTTCTTTATGGCTGGAGACAGGCAATAGGAGTCTTCAGAATGTCTAACAGAACCTTTCACAAACACAGCATAAATAGTTCTTTACTGAAAGGGGATGTTCAGCACTGGAATAGGCCCCCCAAGGAGGTGGTTGAGTCACCATCCCTGAATGTGTTTAAAAATGGTTTGGATGTGGTGCTCAGGAATATGATTTAGCGAAAGGCTGTTAGAGTTGGGGTAGTATGGTTGGGTTGCAGTTGGACTTGATGATCATTAAGGTCTTTTTCCAACCTGAGCAATTCTATGATTCTGATTCTGTACAGCCTATGTAGCTTCAATCTGCCTTAAGTTATCTACTTACAACTATATCACTTAATTAAGCAGTTAGAATGTAAATGAACTCAAAATCTGGGATAGGCAAAAGGAAATACTCAGCCATTAGCATGCTGTAGCATTCCAAGAGATAACTGTCATTTCACAAGCTACAAACCAACCTACTTTTCATCAAAACTTAAAAAGGTAACAGTATGAGTCAACTATCTAGCCTATATGAATTGCTAGCCAGGAAGTGTTTACTAAGCTCGACATAACAAAATAAGTATTGTTTTTGTATGTAATTCGTAACAAAACACTGCAAACAAGATTTCTAGACAGTTAACAGACTACTTACTCTGTCAAAGAGTAGAAACAGCTCTCTGAGGACATCTGAAATAGGCAGCTTCAAGTACTCTGCAAACTCCTCAATTCCAATTCTTCCCCCTTTGGAAGCACTTGCAATAGCAGCAAAGGTATCCAACTGCTCTCTCACGTGGTCCCATTTTAGGCTATGCAAACATGAAGGAGAGGAGGTATTTGTAAATGCTGTGCATCCAGGCTGATGTTTTGTATGAAATCAGCAATTAAGGACTGCCCCCCCATGGTTATTAGTATTATAAGCAGACAGTTCTATGCTTGGGTATCAGAATTCCTTACAGTAACTTCCTAAGTCTATTATCATCATGTTAGTCCAGTAAAGAGTTTTTCATTGCCATAAATTCAGATATAGCATTATTTTTATGCTAAGCATGGAATATATGTCAGTTCTATTAGCTAACTCTCTATGCAAACACTATCATTGCTACAACCTGCAAAGCATCTGATCTCTGAAGAAATACAGCTTTGCACCTTGGTTGGAATAATTAAGATTGCCATGTAACTATGGAAGATTTTTTCAGACAGAGTTGTATAAATGGATGTGTGGCACACATAACAAGTCTAGATGCACTGCGCACAGACTTCAGATCTGACCACAACCACACCAGGTCACATGTGAAATAGTTTGTTTTTTTGTAGATGGCTATCAACTGCATAATTTCCTTATCAACAGCTTAACTTCCCTTACTTGAGCTTCTTGCTGATTTTGGTGAACTCCACCAGCCCTGCTTCCATGGGTAAAGTTAGCTGTCCTGCTGAAATCATCAGTCTGCAGTCTTCAAAAGTATGATCAGTGACTGGCACCTTCAAAGCACTGAAACAAAATTAAGGAAATTAAGGAAAAAGATAATCACCGTCTTACACTAAAATAACTTTTAGTTGACTGTTTCTGTTCTCACCACCTCAACTTGCCTTAGTGCTAATGTACAAAACAAATGATAATCTGTTCTTTTTCTGATACAGTAGCATAGAGCAATGCATTCTGTGAAGCAGTACTGTGAAATGACATTATAGTAATTTCATGATGTTTTCATATTCACAGTTTTGTAAATGCAACCCAGTAGCCTCTGAGAACAAACCACCTACTTACTCTTGTCAAGCAAGTAAGGGAGCATTTTATTCCAGCATTCCAAGTATCAAACATACTATGTTCCAACGTAAGGCAGCCTTCTTTATGCTCCACATAAGACCAATCAAAGGGTGTTCTGGTAGAAGAATTAGAAAACCTACATACAGCACCTAGGACCTGACTGAATTGTGGGGCAGGGTACTTGGTGTACTTTATGGCTGGGATGTATATGGATTTCTAGAGAAGGACAGGTGGATGGGTATGAAAGAAAAGTTCTCAAAGATTTTATTCACGACAATACATACGTTGCCATGGTTTGTCGGACTCTATTGGCAAAAAGAATAGGATCATTTCTTTCTTCCTCAGTAGGAACATGAACAGGCAGAAACTGAAAGAGATGAGTAATCCAATCAATTGATTAGTCAGAACTTTGTTAACAAAATAGACAACTTCCTGTTAGTCTTTGCAACCAGAAAAACAGAGGAGAAAAAAATCAGCCATGCAATGACAGAGCTGGACACCAGAGGTCTCAATAGCCTTAGGAACAACTCAAGCTGCAGTAGCCACACAAGTAAGATTTTAGTCCAAACTGCCTCTTAAAGATTGATAGAAGCAGCTATAAAAAATGAAAATCAAAATCCAAAGAAAGTAAATGCATGTATCACAGGAGGTTTAAACACTACATCTGTAAGAACTATAGTCTGAAATTCTTTTCAAAGATTCTTTGTAATTGATGAAAATGTGTATAAGATTTATAGTGTGTTGTTTGTTTTTTCCACACATGCTGCAGTTATACCTGGTACATGTTAACTGTATCTGTCAGGATGTGACTGGTAAGTTTTCTGTAAGTTTCTTCTAGCCTGTGGTGAAAATGCTGAGGATTCTTAGTTCTAAATTATGAGAATACGAAAATGGTACAGAATTTTACAAGCTTTGCAAACCAAGATATCTACCCCAGATATCTACACGACACATTTACTGTTAAGGACTTATTCAACGTTGTTTTGTAAGAAGTTGGAGTAGCATTGTGCTAGAAATGTATTGTAGGTGAATTATCATCTGCCATGACATGAATGGCATCTGTCTGCAAAGTACTGCGTGGATGTGTGTTCTGTTATTACTTCAGCCAACACAGTGTTTGCCTGCAGCTCTGTTTCCTATACCTCTTCTCAGTTACAATTATCAATTTCAATTCTGTTACTTCTCACCCTGAGATCCTGCCCTTAAATCCTAGAATATAGCTATTCTAGAATCATTCAGATGCTGCACACTGTTCAGTGGAAGACACGGTTACTATGTGTCAATGTGTTTCTTCAGTTATATTTTAGTTGTTGGTGATGCATTAATATATTGGTACCTAAATCCTATATAAATACAGTCCATCCTGGACAGCCTTTGCCTTTGATTTCAAGGAATGCTGCCTCTTTATGACCAAATCCAGACATTTATGGAATAAGTTATCTATCAAATAGCCATGACACTTTACTATTTATAGCTGGGAGTTTTCTCTTTGGTAAGGACAGCAGGGGCTCAGCTGCTCACATGAAGTGTTGAGGTTTCATTCCTTCTACAAGCAGCTACCAGGTCTGTTAATTCTAACACAGATTCTGGCTTATTACAACTTCCCTGCAGAAGTCATGCAGCTCTTAGGTTGAGGAAGCACAGGCACTCTGTACAAACACAGAGAACTGTGTAATCATTGGCTGAGATGAAATCTTAATTCTGAGAAGTTCATCCATGCAAACATGGTTCCTGCTCTTGAAGGTGGTCATTATGTGAGTAGAGGCTGAGGTCCTCCCCAGACCGCAATTTAGATTTTTGGTAGCTGAAACATCTCATTCAAGAAACCTGCTTACCATTAATGATTAAACCAGTTTGCCAGAAACTACAGCAGGAGGTGATGAATTTGGTTTGCTGTCCTCCTGAGGTGGCATGCTTGATCTCACACACACCCAGCTGCTTATCTGCTGATGACTGCTAAGTATACCTTTGCTGTCAAAATGCAATCCTGTAAGAACGATTCTTCCCAGCACTTTCAGTAGCAGAAACACTTATCTGATCTGCTTTTGGCTTAGTCTCTCTTCCTATGGAGACTGCCAAATGCTGTACCTTTGGCAGACATAAAACTCACTGCCAGTTTTACCATTAATTCACACAATTAATACACAATTTTTTAGGCTATGTCTAGAAACACATACAATTCCTTCCTGGACTACAGGAACATCATTGTCCATGCATTGTAGGTAGAGGCAGAGCAACACCAATGGGAAGAGAAGCTGCTTGTTCACAGTATGTGGTAGCAACTGAAGTGTTTACTGCTAACAGGTGAACTACTTAGTGACCACTGATAGTGTGATTTCCTCCCTCTCTGGGTAAAACTGTCCGTTTGGGCTTTTGGAAACCTTTGTATTGATGCTAAGCAGTTATTGCCACTCTGGTGACACAGAGTGCTGTGAAAGCTGCATCTTTCTTCATGTTTCAGTTTCGCTTTGGGAACACAATTTTCTAACAGACAAGTTTGAGTTTCATTCTGAATCAGGGGGAAATAAACATTCTAACAGAAGGGCTCCATTAATTGTTTCTTGTTACCACTTGTATGAATGGCATAGATGTATCCTTTCGTACAAAATCATTAAGAGAATTATATCTTTAGTACATATTCTGCTAATCTGTCTACTGCACATATTATAATGTACAACATGCTCCCTTGAAAAGAATTTCATTGTTTCATAATGAAGACTTTACTGCTAATTGTTAGTAGTAGTAACACAGCTTGTGCTCACAGAGCACAACTTTAATGAACTCTGTGTTTTGCAAATAAACAGCAAAACCTATCTGAATGTCTCCCATTGCTCAGGTCCCTGAACTGACACAATCCATACGGATGATCTTTGTGGTCTGCTAAGAAATGTGAAGTACAACAAACTGATCATACCTCGGTTATCTCTCTCCTCGCTACTGTGTTCTGAATGCTGACTCTTTGACAGGCAGCAAGCTGTTACAGTAAGTGTACTGATATACGAAGTGCATATGTTGTGTCAGTTGTCATTTATCTGTCTTTGCGTCGTGCAGCCGATTTTAATGATCAAGAAAACTGGTTCATTATACAAGTCTCAGCTTTCTCCCCAGTACAAACACCTGAGTCCCTAAGTAAGCTCTTACTTGCAGCAACCTTTTAGCATTCAGTCTGGGAAGGTGGTGAGTAAGACAAGGATGCTTTCAAGGGAGCAGGGAAATAAGAAGGCGGGGTAAAAAATGTGAAGTTGCCTTTAATAGAATGTTTTATACTTGTTAGTTTATAAATTTGTAACCAGTGAGTTGGCAGTGATCTTCCAGTGTCTTAAAAATAAAAGTATTTCTGACAGCTTTTATTTAGTAACTCATCAGGTTAAGTGATACACAGATATAGCCATCAAGTCTCAAAATATTCTCAGTATGATGCTCTTCTTGTTGCTGACACTGTTGTTTACTGTTCACTAACGGTGATTAATAATGTGGATTATGTATTTATGCTAAAGTATAAACTCTGTGGCTACTGAATCTGAGTAGAAAGATACTTCTGATTCTTACCTCAACCTCCACTCTTGTGAAGAGCTGACACAGTGTCATTATGCACAGGTCTTTTCTGCAGGAGAGGAAAAAAGGAAGGAAGAGTTTAAAATTACATTTTACAAAGTATCTGCACATCAGCAGATGAAACACAGCCAATATTGGACAAGGATTTTAAATACGTGGAAGTTTCCTGAAATGCTGCATTAGAGCTTTTTTTTCTATAAGGCTTCTGCATATATCTGCTGCTTGCTCACAGGGCAGGCAACCTGTTATCAGTTGTCATGCTTATCAACAATACTACTCAATTTTCTGGTGAGCAAAATATATATAAGTTACTTTAAGGATGTGAA